TAGTGTAAGCTCCTCAAGACAGGAACTATTGCCCTGTGTGCATGTTCAGTTTAGTTCAGCAAGTCTCAGACCTTGCAGGTCTGATGATAATAGAAATAGATAGGGAAATCCAAAAGGACCTAACAAAGATATGTGAATGGATAGCATGAGCGGGGCATCCAGGATTTAATACTAACAATGAAAGATGATAGAAATTGGAAGCGCGATTTCAAATACTTGCATATATCATTTAGTAAAATGAGTGAAATTTAAAGGATTGGTTTTAGCTCAGCAACTCATTTGTGTAAGTGTTCACCTTCAGTAGCTACAGAATATTAACTGTCATCTCTGTGGGGCCTCAGAACTGTTGTGAGCAACTTCAATGCATCTTCTCAGTAGGTACCAGCAATCGGACAAAGCAAAGCAAAATAGGTGTTTGGAGGAATAAAACTGGGGGGGAGGGGAATAGTAAAAACATTACTGTGCCATTATGTAAGTAGGTGGGATCCCATTGAATATTTTATGCAATTTTGATTATCTCCTCTTAATATAACAGTAGTAGACAAGATCTAAGAAAAGCAACCAAACTAACTGGAGACAGGGAAAGATTTCCAAAACAGAGATTTTGTTTAGAGGGACAACATGTAGAAGGTGACAGCAGAGAGACGCAGTAAACAGGGGGCACGGAGAAGGCTGTTGTTAGTGTTCTGATTTATGGCCATATGCCAATCGCACTAACAAGCTGCTGGGAAGAAACCTCCCCTTACAGCTAAGTTATTCAATCACTGTCCACTAAGGGGGCTTCACATCTTCCTCTGAAGGCATCTGGGACCAGCTCGGCCTGCAATGGAATAATTTGGGGGTAGGTGGGGCAGTAGGGTGCACTGCCCTGAACTGATATGGCTGCTGCTCCATCCCAGGGCCTGGACTGACGGATAATCATGTGCTGTTCTTACCATTGCCTGCTTCTGCCTGCAACACTTGTTGATAAAAAGCAAGGAGAGCATGTGACTACAGGCAGTGCCCTGGCCTGCCTTTACCCTAATGTCACCCATCAACCTCACCTTTCTCTTGTCAAATTAGAAGTCATGTGTTGCATGTTCTCTAAACTTACAGGGCAATAAGTAAGTGCTGAAATAAGGCATGCATCAGGAGTAATCATGCTGCAGGTGCTCGTTTATGAAAAATATATTATGCGAGAGAGTGCAAGCTGAAGACTGTGTGTGTGGTTGAAAAGGATCATATGATATGATTTCTATGATACAATGTGATCCGAAATATCTCAGAATTGACAATAACGGATTAAGTAGACCCTTCCTCAGCATTACAGAGGGTTTCTTTAATCCCAAAAGCATTAATCTTAACATAGGAAATTTCACAAAAAAAGAGGATTTACAATGGCTAGTCAAACAGATTACTCAGGTTTGCAAGGCAGATCCTTCTTAGTTATAATTGTGCATGACAGTAATGGGACGCTGCTTGTTAAGCTGACATTCAAACCCAAATGGAACATGAAGGGAACATACAATGTGGGTTTGATGGGCCAGGCATACCATAACCTTTAACGTGAGAACTGTCCCACAGTCATTATGAACAAGATTTAATACTGAACAGTCCCATGCAGGGTATACACAGCTATAACAAGATGATATCATTCCAAGTTGTTATACTACAACTGTTAAGTGTCACTGGCTATGGCCATGCAAAACCATGTCAAGTTTAACCCTGCTACATCCAGGGTCTAGGCTGGGTGCTTTAACTCATTTGTATTGCTACAGGCTCATGCAGATATAAGAATTAACACATAACAGCTGCTGTACACCTCCAAGAAGCAGGTTTAAAGCAGGTAAAATGTATGTATACCCACACTCCTACACTGGAGGGTTTGCTTGGGGGATTTTGTTTGTTTGTGGCATGTCTGTATTTGCATAATTCAGCATATGAGCAATGGCAGGTGGAAAGGCTTGGTAGAAAACTAATATGTCAGTACAGCTTTGCCCCGTCCTACATAAGTGTCAGAAGTTGCTTGATGCTTGAGCAACTTTCAAGAACAAGCAAGTGCATGTTGGGGGGATGGCAGGTTAGACCAGTGATTCCAAACCATGGACTGCAACACCCCGGGGTGCCACAAGATCCTTTTAAGGGTGCTAGGTAATATTATCACTGCTAGGTATGCAAACACCTACATGACACTAGGGGTGTGCTGATAAAGATTTTCTTGGCTAATACTGATAGCTAATTATTAAACCAGACATATTGGCCAATACGGATCCAATAACCAATATAAACTGTGGGCTGAGTTGCACTGTGGGTTGCGTCACCCTGGGCCAGGCCGTGCAGCTCAGCATCACCCATCCCAGTCATGTCTGCAGCCTTTTACAGCACCCACCCCAGCCCACGCCAGCGCCTGGGACGCTGAGCCAGCTGCTCCACTCCAACCCAGCATTGAGGGTACAGGGATGCATCTCGGGTCACCCCAGCTCATGGGAAGGAAACCAGGGATTCGGGGGCCCTGGCCCCACAGCTGAGAGGGAACCCAGGCATCTGGGGGGCCCAAGTCAGAAGGCTTAATTAACTGGAGAACATTATCAGCTACAATGGCCAAAAACAGCTGTTAGAGGATAATGTAAATTTCCCTTTTATCAGTGTCAATCCAATAGGCAATCGATGTATCAGTGCACCTCTACATGATACACAAGACAAACCCAGAGATTTCAAATAGGAATCTGTAGTGTCAAAAACATTCAGACCTGCTGTGGTCTTGCAACATTTTCTTGTCTCCACTCAGACTTGTACACTGCAACAGAGGGTTTTCTCAATTTTTTTTCCATAGTCAAAAAAAGGACTAAAAGTTAAGAGCCAGCATTTTCCAAGGGGTGCCTTGAGTCTAACTAAGTTGAGAACCACAGAATTTGATCAGTGGGGAAGACGGTATCATGCTAGGCCCCAGATATGGTTTAGATTTTGAAAATAACCATTTTCAAATTAATTCTTCTGGTGAGCACAATGAAAAGGGTAGACATTTTTAGTATTGTGAATGAAGGGACAAAACAGGAAACTCTGGGCTCAAATCATTGGCTTTAGAGGCAGCAAAAGGAAATGGAAACATATTCCAGTGCTGTAGAAACAGTGTTCACATCTCTGAATACAATACATAAATCTGATCAGCTGCCACCACTTGCTAATTTTTTACAGGGTGAACGAAAAGGGAATCCACCTAGGTTTCTGGAATGGCAAGTGAGTACAATGTCTCAATCTGTACTAACACTAGCACATCAAAAGCAATTAAGACCTGAGTTGCACAAGCTAGCATGTTAGTTCTTGAGAGTGTTTCAGTAAAAGTGAAAAAAACACTTGCCATCATTCTGACATCACCTTTCAAATCTCAAGATTTTACTGTTTTCTTAGAAATTACTTGGGAGTAAAAACTGGATGCAAAAAATGAGAAGTCACATTAGGAAGTGGCTGTCCAGTACTTGTAAGCCACTACAAATCCTGCTTTTGTAGCCTATGCCAAACCAACACATCCCAACTCTAGGCAGATGTAGGTTTACTAAAAAAAGTTGTGTCTTTCTAAGCCAATGAGAAGTCATCAGAAACTGCTTCTCCTCCCTGCTCCAAATTGCACAATTGTAAAAGCAAATGTTGAGCATGTTTACAACAATATGAAATTCTCTCAGAATTTCTGGTTTGGTTTTCAAACATTGTATCATTGCTTGCAAGATCTAAAATTAATCTAAGTGAAAGGTAAGAGAGATTTCTCAGTTTTACGGTGAGCTTACTTGGTGCATTTGGGTTTCAAATAGAATAAAGTAAGAGGAGCAGCCAGGCAGACTCAGGGCTGCATGCAAACCCTGGAAATAACCCCGTTACCCAGTTTTAACCTACTAACATCCCTTTAAATATCCAAAATAAGTTGATTAGCTAGAAATAAATTATACATTTCAGAAGTGCTCTAAAACAGAGGTCATGAAAGATCTCTCTGCTCTTGTTGAAGGATACACTCCTAATGTATTTGCACTGGTTGAATTCCAACACAAGTTTTTCCTGTCTTCTAAAACTGGGCTCCTTTCCTCTGAAACCTCTACTCAGAATACACTCCTTTTCATTACCCAACTTCCATTTCATCTTTGTCTTCTCTCCTCTTTCTCTTGGTCATCCTAATCTGATTGGTTCATCCTAAATCTCTCCCCACCAACAATATAGGGGCCAATATAGAGCTATTCTTTAATGTATCTGTAAAAGATGCTAGTTAAATCTAGTTTCTAGATCTGTGAAGTAATGGAACTTCATTCATTTCCCCTAAATGATTATTTCACAGATACTATCTTAACAACAGGAAGTTTGCAGAGGCTCAGTTTAACATTTTTACTCTTTAAAATGTCCTTCCCCTACTAACTTCTCTTCACCCCCCCCACATCCTTTTTTTTTTTTTTAAATATGTTCAAAACATCCCTTTCTACTTGGTATTTATACACCTAACCCTGCCCAAGACTGATGGGGATAAGTCCTAGAGTCCTTCGCACTGCCACACTGCAAGGCTTCCTTCATGACCACACCCTTGGGTCTTTACCCACATCAAGGTGACTATTTAAGCTGGGTTTTCACAACCCGTGGGCTGGGACCCAAAAGCGGGTCGCAAGAATATTTGAAAGGGTCATGAACAATCACAGAAAAGCAAAGGAAAGCGTGGGTTTCGCCTTGCAGGCTGGCAGGGTCCCGGCCTACAAGAGGGTGCTTGGGGGGAGCAGGACACAGGGGGTGCCACGCCTATGAGCACGCACACGCGCCCCCATACGCACACCTACGGGTGGGGCAGCGGCTGGCCACGCGTGTTCACCAATGGGTGGGCGCTGCTCCGAGACAGGCTGGCTGACACACGCGTGCCCGTAGGCCCCAAACCTTCCCGTGAACGGAGGCCAACCCCCCGCGCAGCAGGGCGGCGGTGCCACATCTGCTGTCCCTCACACCGCCCGCCCCGCGGCGGGGTCCGGCCCGGCCCGGCCCGGCCCGGCACTCACAGAACTCGGCGATGTAGTGCGACACGGCGTAGTTCTCCTCGCACCACTCCAGGGTGGAGGTCGGCGGACCCCAGTAGCCCGCGCGGTCAGCGGCAGGAGCCATGGCCGCGCTGCGGGGCCTGGCGGGACGGGGCGGGGCTAGGCGAGCTGGGGGGACCTGGCCCCGCCCACCGCGTCGCCATGGTGACCGCCCGCGCCTGCGCGTCCGGCCACTGGCTCGGGCTGTAGACCCGCCCCCGCCTG